TTCCTTCCTTCCTTCCTTCCTTCCTTCCTTCCTTCCTTCCTTCCTTCCTTCTTTCCATCCTCCCTCCTTCCCTCCCTCCCTCCCTCCTTCTCTGTTTGTTTGTTTCTTTCTTTTTTCCAATATATTTACTAAAGATAAATGAAAGCCTATGTAAGTGCAAAATCTTATACAGGAATCAAACTGGAAACTTGTTGCAGTCACACGACTCAGTCCATGTGTCCTGTGGAAGGGAGATGCCATAGGCATCCGTCTTATCTGTCTTCTACAAGTGGAGAGTGAATCAGCACTATGCCCATACAGTTGGGTACTAATCATTAATTAAAAGGATAAATTATTAGTATAGGCAAAAAAGTGGAAGAATCTCAAAATAATTACCCTGTATGAAAGAGACTAGGCACAAAAACAGGGCTTTTCGCTGGTGTGTTTGTACAAAAGTCTAGGCAAGGTGTAGCATCTACAGTGACAAAAACAGATTGGAGGTTGCCTGGGAGTGGGAGTCACTAGGGATTACAGAGGTTTGTGGAAACTTTTTGATATGATTTACATGTTATTTTAATTGTGGCAATGGGCACGTGTGCGATTCATATATCTAAACATATCAAGTGCTTCACAGTTTATTCTATCAATTATGCATTAATAAAACTTTCTTGAAATAAGTAACTACATCTTCAAATACTAGCTTTCAGTTTAAGGTACATCTCTTTACTTCTGGCTTTAAATAGATGAATTTTTGAAATAATTAGTCAAGTGGTTTGTTTTTATATACATACCCTTTATATGAAGTTAAGGTCTAAAGAAAACATTTCATTTGAGGTGACATTTTGTACAAAGCATCAAAATTTGTTGGTAAGACAACTTGAAAATTTGTCTAAGATTTTTTGAAGCCTTTTTTAAAAGGACCAAAAAGCTAAAAATATTTGAATTACCCTAAGGACCCTCCAAATAATACAACTAATTATTAGAATTTTCTAACTTATAGTTAAGTGCTTAATTGTAAGGTAAAGTGGAAAAGACAAAGCAAAAAGAGCGCTGAAAATCATTTGCTGGAATTCTACAATTTTTTTTTTGAGCCGTGCTGTGCCAACCTGTTAGGAGCTGGTCTGAGGCCTGATCTGTGCAGAGTTTGCCAATGAATCTTGTTAAACTAGGCTTGGTGTGTTTGGACACCTGTGCCTGTGGTGTCTGTCTCCCAGCAGTGTATAATAATGAGTCCCCTGACTCCTGCATGTAGGGGAAAATTAACGTTAATTTACAACTACTCTGTTGCCTTACTTCTCTCTAAATATTTAAGTAAAACAGCCTATCCAAAGCCTTTCTCATTGTTTCTTCTCATATCATTAGTGTAGATTCTGTCTGGTCTCCAAGGTGTCTCTCTGTTCAATGACATTTCTCCTTTACACCTCCAGCTTATTTTCACATGTGGCTATCTGGTTCCCCTAGCTGAGGCACTGAACTTTCTAAAATGCGTACTTGTATTGTTCTGTATTTTGAAATGTCCATTTGAATTGTTACTAACAATTAGTTATTCTTTTATTAGCTTGTTATGAAAATTTGGACTTTTCCCTTTGATGCTGAAGATTAAATCCCAGGGCCTTGTGCATGCTAGACAAGTGCTGTACCACTGAGCTATACCCCCAGCCTGAAAATACTTTTAATAACTTAGAAGAATACATAATAATATGTAATAAATTAATTCTTTGACCTATACCAGAGGTTTTAAGTTTTCTGCTCAAAGTGGTTTCAGTTTGGTTATACAAGCAAATTGATTTTATCCTATACTTTGGTGCTGTGGTGAATATTGAGTTTTTGAATTAAAGTAATTCAGTTCATTGAGGGAAGGTGCATCTTTTGATTTTTTTCAGGATGAGAACTTAGGGCTCATCAATGAATATTCATACTAAATTTACTTACCCTGATTATATCCATTGATAGAAATTATTTACTCTAGCTTGTAATTAGCTATATATATGCAGTCATTCATTCAGCAGATGTTTACTGAGCTGCCCACTATGTATGTGACACAGTTTCAGGCATTGAAGATAAAAAGTTTTACACATGAAAAACATTGTTCTCTCCTGAACTTTTATTGTGATGTGGAATGGGAATAGACAGTATGATAAGTGAACACATCGTATATTACATATGAGGTCATCGTAATTGTGAATACTGTGAAAGCCAGTGTAAGCAACAGAGAGAAATGTGTGGGAAGGATGTTGTAATGTTTATAGAATACTCATGGTGTAGAGCTTAATTTGCTGACTTTGAGTATCATGGAAATACCCAGGTAGGTGATGCTTTGTATGACAGAAAATCCTAATGAACTGTATTTAACACTTAAGTAGGAACACATGTACATATATGCAATAACAAATAAAAGGTAGCATGCTAAAGTTTCAAATTCAAGGGAAATATTTGTGGAATTGAAGATCGTGTGCAAAAATTTATATAAAATTTTCTGAACTTTCTATTCAGTAAAGTCATTCACATGGATCTGGTTTTTAGTAAAAGGCAAAATATAGCAAATGACAAGTTGGATGTGGTGGGCAAAACTGCAGTCTTTTGAGGGACTGCTGTGTTTAACACTTTTACATTCATTAATCTCATTGAATTGTGCCATCTTCCTAACGCATTTTACTTTATAACTATGAGGAAAACCAGTTTGGAAAGATCAGGAAATACACACACACACTTGATAAATGAAGCTAAGATTTGAAAAGTAAGCCATTCTGACTTTAAATCTATCTCCTTCATTTATAAATTACTCTGCTTAAGCCTGTAATCCCAGCGCTTGGGAGGCTGAGGCAGGAGGATCAGTGTGAGTTCAAGCCAGCCTGGGCTACATAGTGGGTTCAGGGCCAACCTGAACTACATAGTAGAGACCCTGTCTCAAAAAAAAAAAAAGTAAGCGGTGAAGGAGTGGATAAAAGAAAAGATAGGTCAGTGGCCTTTTGTTCCTGAGAGGTTCTCTTGAATGAACTGGACGTTGAGGCAAGTCTTGATGATTTGACCTTGGTTAAGGTTACTATTTCTGGCAGCAGGCGTGTGGGGCTCAGGCTCTTTGCTGAGGTTGATGCCTCCAGGCCGGCGTTCTTTCCTCAGTGGCTGCTTTGTCTTGTCTTGTGTAACTCTCTTCCCGGACGCCTGCTCAACCAGGCTTCTACATGCTGCAGCCTGCTCCTCCTCCATTGCCTGTAGTCCTCTTACCGTACTCTGCCCACTTCCAGCTGGTGCATAGTTTAGTTCCTGGTCATGCTTATTGATAGCCTCCTACTTTCAGAATAAAGTTTCATGAAGACGAGATACTTTGTCTTTTTAAAAATCTCTGAGATATTAAAAATCCCCAAAGTGTCACCTAAGTGCTCAGGAAAGATTATTTTGCAGGTAGGAAGGCTTTGAGTTAAGAGTGAGGAGAACACACTGGGCCTCCTTTGAGGCCAGGCTTACTGAAGTGGGAGGAGGATGTTGTAGGTTCCTTTTGGATAATTAGAGCAGACCCAACTGGCTAGGGCTTGAATCCGAAGCAAAATCATTTATTTGACAGAAAGGAGAAGCATTCTGTTTTAAACAACTGTGCATTAACGTAGTGGTGTAAACTTCATGTCCTAGGAACATTGTTTTAAGTGCTCTTGAGTGTTTTCAGTTTTGGCTTAATCAACAAGGATGTTAACAGTTTTAACTATTAAGCCCCTACCAAAGACAGGCTTCAAGTTTGGGTGATTAATTGGGTATAAATGTCTACTGCTTGCCCCTGTCTGTCTGTGTCTGTCATCTGTCTGCCCTCACAGCTTCCTTCCTTCCCACTCCTCTGTCTTCTGTGTTGGGTTACTGTTGATGTTTAAATTGATGCCTTCATGATGACAGGATGGCTGCCACCAGCAAGGCCCAATAGCTCCCTTCTTTGTAATTCTTTAAATGCCATGAGGTTTAAGTCTGCCTTTTAGTTTGATTGGGCCACCTGAGATCTTTGTTCAGCATTTGGCAGGTATAATAGTTTCCCCTTAGCTGGGGAATAACATTCCATAGTTTTAGTTACTCAAAGTGTGAAATATCAAATGGAAATTCAGGAGTAAAAATTCATAAAGTTTAAGTTTTGTGCATTCTGTGTAGCATAAAGCCTTCGTGATACAAGTATCAGTGGTTGTTTCAGATATTCCTGTGGGCATAGTACATCAGAAGCCCTAAGTGCTGTTAACTTGGTTTAGGTATGTAGTTTAATAAGCTACAGTGTGGCCAAATTTGCAGGTATTTCTGTTTTAGAATCTTGAAGAGGTGGTATTACATTTCCCCTCTAAAACTACTGTGTATGTCTCAATTTGTTATGGTTAACCTTTACTGTTTTCTTAAAATCAAATTTGAAGATTTCCTGAGACAGCACTGCTACAGTGCCTTGAGTTTGAGAGTGAATGACATACTGTGTATTTCAGAACCTGACCAGAGTTTCTAATTGTGTTTTTTCCCCTTCCTTCTCCGTCCCCCAGATGACTCGGCTCCAAAGGAAGTCAGCAGGGTAAGTAATGTGAATGTAATTTCTACTTCTGCACAGTATAGGAAATAAGAAATTCCTTTGTACATTTTCTCCCTACTATAACCTGTTACATTATTAGAAAAACAATGACAAAACCTAAATGTCTGCTCCAAAGAGTTACTGATTTGTATGGAATTAAATCAGTAAAGAGATATGTTGCCAATTAGAGGCTGCAAGACTGACCACAACTAATAGATGAATTTCTGTTGGTCTACACATGTTTATGAGGTTTTCTGCCCCAGTGGCCAACATTTTAAAGTGGGGAGACTGTGTACAAAGATTGGGTTTATGCCCTCTACTGAAAAATCAGAAGGTAAGGAGCACCAGCACAGCACTCCAACACAGCAACATCAGCTCTGGCTAAGCAGAGGAAGCCAGAGGTTGTCACAGCCCTCCACTCAGCTAGTTTGACTTAATCCTTTACCTGTCTGATGCCTATTTGCAATTCATGCACTTTGTTTTTGGCAAAACAAAACATAGTTCAGGTGGTGGAGGTGGGGCATTGTTTAGCACTTTCAGAAATGTTAAATGTAATGTTTTCCTGACCTAGAGAGATAGTACTGTTAACTTTCAGAGATTTAGAAAACTTAAAAGCTTGGGAAGATGGGTACTGAAAGCATTATCACATTGTTTGATACTACAGGATTACCTGTATAAGTAATTTCATAAGAGGAAATTATCTTGTTTCCTGTGTAGAGACATTAAGTGTGGATTAAATATTGAAAATAATAAGCTTGAATTGCATATGATATAACCAGATGTAAAAAATTGCTCTGTTTTAAAAAACTGGAGCATTGTTAATAGAATCACATATGCAGATGTATTCTTTTGTTTTTGGTTATATGCTGAAGAAAATCTCTAGAGATGAAGAGATGGGGAAGGGCTTCAGAGCTGGTGGCCAGGCAGAATTCCCTCTGCGCATAGAATCTTAACAGACTCCTAAGGTTTCTGGGAGACTCAGGGTTTTCTCAGACGCCTTCAGTATTTATCTCACATTTATAGAGTTCACAGTGGGAGAGGCTCCAAGTCTCTGTGCCCCAAGATGTGCTAAGAGGGGGAGGATCAGCCTAGAGTTTTGGTATCTGCTAGGAGCAACAGAGAATGTTATGAAGTGATGCAGGAAGGTAAAAGGGAATTCTCACGAATTAACTCGGACAATGCCATAAAATGTTGGGGTATTGATACTGGCAAATCCACTGTCTTGATTTTCTGAGGCTTCACTGTGTATTTTATAAATCAAGGTTCAGTAGGAATGAAACTGCAATATATTCATCAATAATCCTTTTTAAGAAGGAGACACTCAGACTTTTTGTGTATAGGGAATTTAAACTTCAAAATCTTGAAGAGGGGCTAGGGATTTAGCTCAGTGGCACAGCGCCTACCTGGCAAGCGCAAGGTCGTGAGTTTGATTCCCGGTACTGGAAAAAAACAAAACAAAACAAAAAAACCCAAAATCTTGAAGAGATTTTATTTTATTTTTAAGAGAGTAGTAAAAAAAAAAAAAGAACAATAACAGCATACCAACATCACAGACATAAAATAAAGCATTAACATTTAAAATGATACAGGGTTTCAAAACAAAATGATAGGAATTAACAGTCATTGTTATATTACATATTGTTATCTTCAACTACATTGCTCAGATTACCAAATGTAAGAATGGAAGATTGTTCAAACCATTAAAGAGAATACAAGAAAATTATTAAATACAATATTAGAGATAATACAGAGTTTCACTAGGCAAGATGGTAGGAATTTGTCCAATGGTGTGTCGTAAGGAACAGTTAATGCTTAAAATGTTTTATATTTTGAAGAGACTTTAGACTTTGCTGTTATTTTTAAGGAAGGTAGGAGAACGAATGCCAATATAGGTGGTTGCAACCCATCCAAATGTTTTCCTTACATCTTACTCTAATGACAAGAATAATTATAATTGTATCTCTGATATCTTATGTCTGTATATTGACTGTCTTCACTTATTTAATGGTTTAACCTATTTAACTATTTTCCTTAGTTTCCACTATCCCAGAACATAAAGACTCACCAGAGCATCAGGACTGATTTTGCTGTTGCATCCTACTCTGTCACTTACAAATCATGTTGTATTTGGGGAGAATAACTTTATAGGGAAAGAATAGACTTCTTCTTTAATTTATTTCTATATATTCAATTATACAATATTGCTGCCAGGCATTTGGGGTTCAGAAATGCCATTGTACAGACATTGCTTACCTTATTAGTGCCTGTTTCCAGGTGGAAACAGAGGATGCCACGTGTTCTGATAGGGTCAACGTGACACCATGGAGCACCTCTAAGGCCTTCAGGAGCAGTGACGAAACTATGCATAGTAACTTTTAAATGATTATTTTATAAGAGTCTGTTATGCCAAAGTCAGAGACACTTGCATTTCTGAGAGACACTAAATGTATGAACTCAGGTAGTAGAATAGTGTCAGATGTCAAGATCTTTTAAATTTTCTCTTCTGAATCTTGATCAATATTTATTTGACTAATATTTATATTTTGCTATTGAAATAGTATACTGCTTTTTCGAATTTGATTTAGAAATACTGATGGCCACCTTGTGATAGATGGTGACGAGTCATAGCTTCTGTTTGAACACATCTTCTTCAAAAAGTGCCCTTAGTACTTTTTGGTGGATTGTTTCACTTGAGGTGTGGCTGATCAGTGTGAAGTTCTTTATCTGCTAGATTCTGCTAGTGACCCCCCTTAATTACCATCCATTCATGTTAGTTTTGACTTTGTAAGACCTCACAAAAGGCTGCAATCCTATTGCACATGTGACTCTTCGAGTACAGGTTTTGTTCTTTATGTGTTAGTAAAACATCTCTTTAAACTCTTTCACCTGTATGATTCTTTAGGCCCTGGGATGACAGTCCCTAGATGAACTATATATGTTATTAATGTATTTTAAAAGTGTGCTAGACATAGTATATCACACTACACACCAGTTGTGGCGTGACTCTGATAAGATGAGGTGGTGGGACAGATATCATCTTGGTTTAGAAATTGTATCCTATAGATAAAATTCTAAGGGAGAATTAGCATTTTTAAAAAGCCATAGAACATTTTTGGTTATTCACCATTCAGTAAACTACCAGTTTTCTTTTCATGAAGTCAAGACCAATCTGTAATTTTATATCTCTTCTTTCCATGTTTCCCGGTTTGCTCTGCCTCCCTTCTTCCCACATCTGCCCTTTTGCCTACCATCAATTGGCAAACATTAACATTTATATGCCAGGCATTGTTCTGGGGTCTGAGAATACATGTTGAGAAAAATAGTATTCTGATTGTTACAGTCAAGAAGGTAATGGTTAAATACACACACAAACACATGTCAGTGATAAATACTGTGACTAATATGTATAATAACAAAGCAGAAGAAGAAGTGAGTGATGGTGCATTAGCGACAGCCTCTTACTGTATATATGTAGTGGTCAAGAGAGGTTAATTTTGATAAGCTGGCATTTGAGCAGGATCTAAAGAGAATTGGCCAGCAGGAGAAGGCAGTAGCTGTTAAGGCCCATGATGTTGGTCAGGTGGCCGGGGCAGGGTGACTAATGGGAAGAGTAATAAGAAATGAGATTAGAATAGAATAGGGGTATTGAAGGCCTTATAGTGTCTTATATATCCTTTAGATTTAATTCTGGGAAGACTTCGAAGCCATTTTGGGTAAATCAAGTGGAATGCTGGAATCTGATTTATATTGGAACTCAACCCTTCTGTAGCTGCTGAATTGAGAATACACAGAAAGAGGTAAGGGTGAAAACAGGGAGGCCAGAGCGCTGAAGGATAGGCAGGAAGGAGGGCATCTAGGATTGGGGTTAGATGATAGAGCGTAGCTGAGGTTGGTGTGTTAGAAAAGAGGATCCCTTGGGCTCCTGTGCATGTTGTGTGAGAAGAGAGGAAGAACCATGAACTCCTGCTGTTTTTGTCTCATCCCTGTTGGGTTAAGACCAGGGAGGAATAGAATGGAGTAAAATTGAAAATTGTAAGTTGATTTTGAACACATCAAACTTATGCTCCTGATAAGGAATTGGAAATATTTTGAAAGCAAGTATATAGGGTCATGTTCAGAGAGAAGTTCATAGGTCAGGGAAGATATTTGAAAGTCTGTAGCATCTAGGTGGTACTTAAAGACGTGAGACCAAATGTTATCATTTGAGGAATTTGTCTCTGGAGTAAAGATCTGAGCGCTAAACTATGGACACTGCAGTTGTTGGATGATGGCCAGAGAAAAGAATAGGGAAGGAAGTGATGGACAAGAAAGCAGTGAAGTAAGAGGGAACCAAAAACTTCTTGGTCAACATTTTGTTTTAGAATTTTAAGGGCATAACCAATTGTGTCATAACAGTGCATTGTTGTGGGTGTATAATACCCATGTTTATTCTTTAGAATATTTCTATTGATGAATTATTAATTTTAATTTTATGAGTTTCATTATATGAAATAATGAGTATCTAACAGGGAAAACAATCACAAAAGTGAAGTATCAAAATTTTATATCTATTTTTAATTTAATTTATTTATATTGTTTATAAAAACATAAAAATTTTCAACATCAACCATTTTTGGTGTTCAGAGTCTAAAAAATAACAACAAAATTAAATTCCTATTTGAACTGCAATGAAAATACCAATAGAACTCTACAACAAAAATAATCTTTCCTTCACTTATCACATCTAAGGCAGTCTTCAGACATGACAATAGCATGTTCCACATACTTGTATTGCTTACACTGACAGCACATCTTTTGCTTTCCTGGCCTTTTTTTAGCACATATTTGACATCTTACTGGTCTTGCTGTTTTGTCAGGAGGTTCTTATTATAGTTCTTATTATATTATACAATATGTAGTTAACAGGAACATAAAGTATCAATAAAGTAAAGTATTAAGTTCTTAATATGTATCATGTGTTTAGGAATAAACTAACTTTTACATCAACTGTGTACTTGCTTACA